ATATATATATATATATATATATATATATATATATATATATATATATATATATATATACATATATATATATATATATGTATATATATGTATATGTATGTGTATATATTTATGTATCATCTATTCCTTAATGATATGACCATTTTATTTGAAAAATTCAGATAAGATGGCTAGTGTTCATATTTTAATATTTTTATAGTAAATAATTTCAATGAAGTATTTTCCCTTTAATTCTGATAGTATTATGTATTGTAAATTTCAATGAATTCATTACATTTTCAATGAAGTAATGTGTAAAATGTTATTAAGAAATAACGTTATTAAGAAATAATAATAAGAAATGTATTTTTTTTTGCATTTTAAAAAAGTATGGCCATCTTATCCGAGTTTATCCTATTGCATTTATCAATGATGAAATCTCCCTTTGCATAAAATTTTTTAAGGGGGCTGCCCTGTCTAACGCCGAAAATGATTATTAAAAAAAAATCTTTGTGAAAATCAGTAAAAGAATATTGCTTCAAAGTTCTTGCCAATAACTAGGGATGTATAGGTGTGTTTCATATAATACTTTTATATTGCAATAAAGATTAATAATTTTCCTGATATCCATAAGCGAACGTAAAGTAACAAAATCAGAATACCCTTACAGCTTCGAAAGATTTCCTTTTATGAGTTGAGCTACCACAAAAATGAATTAATTTTGTAATTTACTATCAGTTTTCAATGGCATGAACTGATAAATGAACTACGAAAGTTAAGTAATTTTTTGGGTCATCAAAATGACGAAGCTTTAAAAACAAAGATTTTTCTCTTAAAATAAATCTCAGTTCTTAAGTTTGGAAGAAAAAACTACTGTTCGTAGTCCCTGCTATAGAGAGAAATTAGGTTAAAATATATATGCAAAACTTGGATTTTCAATTGTCTCATTAGTTTTTAGTTGTCTTCAAAGTCAGTTAAAATTTTGAGATAAATATGTTTATGTCTGAGCGAGTCTCTGAGAGAAGTTTTATATATGAAAAACATGTTTATTTTAATCTATTATTCTTGGACCATATAACAATTTTTCAACTTCTTCATTAAAGTCCTGAGTAATTATTTATTTTATTCTTTGAACTATTTTAGCTTCTTTCGACGTAAAAATCTTATGCTCCATTAAATTCAATCGCGTCTCATTTCTGCTCTTCGCATATAAATTTATTATTTTTATAATTTTAACGTCCTGTCTTGTTTTGTTCTGCTTAAGAAATATGCAGTCAAATAAGCTGACATTATGACAATTTGTATTGCGCTACATATATATATATATATATATATATATATATATATATATATATATATATGTTTGGGAGTAATTTGTCATATAATCACATTGTAGCTCTCATTATTGTTTCAAATGTAGCCCCATAAGAAAGACTCTAAAGAAAATACATTGGAACGATCCTTGTATTCCCTGAAATTGATTTACCGATACTAATATGAACCATTTGTAGTCTCTATCTGCGCGCTGCTAACCATGCATTATCCAATTCTAAATAATAACGTTAATTTGAAAAATTTTCTATAAAATAATTTTAGGATTTTATTTTATATATTTAAAGCTATCCTTAAAGACTAATGAAAAGATTTTTTTTCTATCTTAAAGCCCGTAAACCGAGCAGTCCCCTTAATATGTGAGATATATACACACACACACATACATATATAACACACACACACACACACACACACACACACACACACACACACACACACACACACACACACACATATATATATATATATATATATAAAGATATATATAATTTTACATAACATATACATACTTGAATTAATATTAGGTTGATTTGGGTTGTAAAAAAAATTTGTGATATTTTTTTCTAAAATTTAAAAAACTGGTACATATATAACGTTTCCTAAATTAATAACGAAAATGTAATATTTATTGTAACTATTGCGAACCGACCGTTTTCTCGTGTGTGTGCGACAAATAAGGAATAAATTATTCGAAGCCTTTGTCGTGAGAAAACCGCTACGCTCTGTCACTCAGGAACTTACAGGTGCTGCTAAAAAGCGCGACGTCGCTTTGTGCATGGTAGATACGCTACTTGGCGGATTAATGCTGGAAGCTGCCGGGAAAGAAGGAAGTGCATGATAGGTGTAGAAGCTTTTCTAGAGGCTTTTGACTAAGATCACGTAGTGGGTATTCTGTGGCAAGGTTTGCGGAGACGGCGTTGGGGGCGGCCGCCTTGGTGGCTCCTGGAATTGAGGAACCGACCAACACCGCTTCCGGCAGCAATGAGGATGAGGACGAGACGCCCCTCGATCCCGTCGTCGTCATCTCCAACGACAAGAGCACGGAATTCTTTCTAGCCACGGTCGTCGAGGAAGCAGCGTAAGAATTTCATCATATCTTACCATTCGTCCGCGTCGCGCGCCGCGAGCCAAAGGTAGATGTAGGAATTCTCTTTCAACGATATCAAATCGCGCGCATTGTCATACTCGTTGCGTGACTCGTTGCGCAACCGTGTGTGCGAAAATCCGAACAAATGCATCATCCCTGAGGCACTGTTACTACCTTTGAAGTTAATGACACTCTGTTTAAAATGCATGCCGTTTCTACGGTGTCAGCACGGTACGAGATCGTGATCAAAGCGGATTACAAAGCGGGAAAGAGGAACTCCTCTGTTTGTTAGCAACGTTCAATATTTACTGTCGCAAAATGTATCGTTGGCCGACGATGAATTATATCATGTTACGTTTGCACCGCCATTTCTTTCTTCTGCTTGCCTCGTTTATTACAGGATTATTATGTTCATACTAAATTCAATGATAATTCAATAATAAGAGCCTTTTCTACTTAATATAAATATAAAGATTTATCTATCCCTTATAACAGTTTCTATTTCGTGGCATGGAATCTTGGATACTTTTTTCTTTACAGCATCATTAACAAAGAAATGCCGTATCAAAGCAGCCTGATTTTAAATTAAGTGCTTTCATAAACTTTTCTTTTGTGCCGGGAAGTACGGAAAAATGACACACAAAAAGGCTCATATGCCGGGAGCGTAATGAAGAACTCTGTATATTACTAAAATGTAAGATCCACTTTTAATATATCACTAAACTTCAAAGAGTAAAATAATTGTTTAAATTTATTTCTAAAAGATATGTGAGAAGTATATAATGTGTGTTGTATAAAAACGACAATTTTTCAACTTCTTCATTACTTAAAGTCCTTCTACATAACTTCAAGTCCTAAGTGATTATTTGTTTTATTCTTTGAATCACATTTTAGCCTCTTTCAATATAAAAATCTTGTACTCTATTAAATTCAATCTTATTTTTACTCTCCACATATAGTTTTGTTCTACTCAGAGAAAGAAAACAGCTTGCTTTACTTTACTTCGGTTAATAACCGCTCTCCATTGTTTTAATTTTCATTAAATACTGTTCAAAACTGTCTAATTTATATTGCTATCATGCAGCAGCTTTCTTTCCGCGTAATTCCCTTGATCGTGACACCAATCTGAAAAAGACACGAAACGTGAAATTAAAATGAAGCTTAGAAGAGCTTATTAATGTCAAATTATATTCGTGACCTTCTCGGGCAACTTAACCTACAAACTGAAAAAGCACTTCATCGAACGACCGCATGAACTTTCCAGGAATTATACCATAATTCCCTATCCTGTGTCGTGTGGCAAATTAGATTTGCGAAATTTTTCGATCGCTCGGTCGTTCGGTCGGCAGGCGGTAGGAGAAAGCAGACTGTATTCTAAATAACGCGAACGATCACAGGGACGCGAACGGATGCAGTGGTAGCGGGCAATAATTGTTTTCTTACCCTCCCTGAAGAATTCCGGCCGAATTGAAAAGGTTTCGAGTCAATCAAAAGTTCGAGCCTGTCAGGGTTTAATTGGCCAGTTGGAGGTCTCCAATTAAGAGGATATTACTTTCGCTTCGCGTGCCGCAATGTTTGCATTGCCGTACACCCTTCCATTGCGCGACAACGCGACTTCTTTCGGTTACTTGTAACGTGAGAATAATTATTATTTCGTTCGGGGCAAGGGACGATCGTTATTTCGAATTACCTTTATCTTCTTTTCGTAACAGAACATTTGCAGTAATGATACATGTCACAATATACTGCAAACGTATAAAACGTTGAAACTAGTAAAATACGTAACGTAATGTATGTACGTAATACGGACGAATAATGAAGTTTGCAAAAATATACTAGATTATTTAGTCGCTGTCGATTCTCTTCGTTAAATTAGAGCAGTTGTAATCATTGTAATTTTATATCCGGGTTACTTTCAACTATCGTAGAATCACTAATGTGTGACATAACAATCTTTTATAAAAGATGAGCGTCACATTTGTATGCAGGGTTGAAAAAGCTGATATTTTTTTTAACTAACAAGGAAACCCACACAAGTGAAAATCGTCTCCGATTTTCATGAACTTGAAATATGTTGTACTTTAGATCAAAATAATAGATACGTTTTTATTATATGTGCTTTTTCGCAAGTTTAGGGGGTGAAATACTTTTATGAAGAAAATCGGTTTTTTTCATTCGAAAAGAATATAATGAAAACTATAACAAGTAGAAAAAAATATTTTCAATAAAATTTGAATGATTTGAAGAGTACTTTACAGAAATTATTTTAATAATTATAATAACAAAAAGTAGTGGGGGAAATATTAACAAAATTTTTTTTTATTAAATTATTTCTGTAAAGTACTCTTCAAACTATTCAACTTTTATTTAAAATATTTTTTTCTATCTCTTATAGTTTTCATTATATTCCTTTCGAATGAAAAAAAGACGGTTTTTTTCAAAATCTGTTATTTTGATCTAAAATATAATATATTACAAGTTTATGAAAATCGGAGGCGGACGTTTGTGTTTCCTTTAAGTTAAGTTTAAAGTTAACTAAATAAAGTAGGTAAATAAAGTTAATAGTTAAGTCTAAGATTTTATTTGATTAGTTTAGTTAAAAATTACACAAACAAAAGCTAACATAACTAGCAGTTCGGTTAAAATTGAATTAATATACTAATATTAAAAGTTAATTATATGATTTTTACATAATTACCTTTTTAATCGCAAAGTTAAATTTGTGCAGGTTAATATGATAAGACTTTTACAAGAAAATACGGACTATATTATATAGATTTCATACGAGAAAAGAATACGGGCGCTCAGAGAGACAAAAGAAAATTCTGCTGGCATTATTTTGAATCCTTATCTTATATCGTAAACAGCTTGCAATAATTTTAATATTAATGAATTATTTAATTTATATAAAATAATTAATAAATAAAAATTTATGCATTTAAAAGTAACTAGCTTAAGTTAAAAGTTAACTCGTTTAACTAAAAAAATTTTATTAATTTTTTAATTCTGTTATTTCACTTTTAACTAATTAATTAGTTATTATCCAATCTTGAATATGTGTAATTGCATAAGTTTGTTTTTTGTGTCCACATATTATCAAATCGAATTTATTTACATAGTCAAAGAAAAAAATACGATATAGTTTGTGAGAAAAATCTCCTAAATAAAGTAGATTGGCAGCGGATGCGGTAATTATTGCGTTTTGCGCTTTGAAGACTCTTATCTTAAAAGCGCTTTTAATAAAACGCTTTTAATTTGTTTTCGAAAACGGGTAAAAAGACCAAGACGATTTATAGGACGCCGGAACTTCGCGGAATCGAAAAACGCCAGCGGAAAGTCAATATTCGACACGACCAACAAGTTGGACGTTCGAAAGTTCAAGCGTGCCGGTAATCGAGCGAAACGAAAGTATCTGCGAGCGCGGAGCAGTACAATGATCTCGCGGTTCGTTCATTTTCTTGGTTCTCTTGGAGATTACAGCACAATGGCGAGCCGCTGGCCGGCCGGCCGGCAAGCTCGCTTTCCGATTTTCGTGGCCCATGTAAAGCTCGCGCACAATACTTGTTTGATGGAAACTCGTCGTTTCGATAGTAATCTAGAAGTTTGCGAGCTAATCGCGATAGACGGTTCCTTTGTACCAGCTGGTGCGAACAATTTGCATGTGGCCTTTCGCGTTACCTTTGAGAGTGGGCCAATCAAGCCCAGTGTACGTAGTTATTAATTAACGTATATTTTCGCGCGGCGCCATGCTGTACTACGTTTATTTTGGGCGCATGCGTGAGAAACTCCCGACTAGAAATTTGTCACATGGTCTTGGTAAAGTCAATCCTAAAGTTGTTAGGTTTGTGTAAGGTAATGTCATTGAATACTAGTGAGATATATAACACAATGTGGCAATCACGACTTAAAGATCACTTAGAGAAAAAGATTATTTCTTGAGAAAAATAAGAAAAGCTCGATTATTTTGTTTAATAATTAAAAAGAAATCTTATATTTCATCACTAACGTGTGGTCTTTTATTGTATGTCGCTTCGCAATCTCCTCATTCAAATATTTTACCGTCTCGTGAATAGTCATCTATCCTTTTACGGACTGTGGCCTCACAGTTGCTTGACTTCATGAGCAAACAGGAATTGATGATGTTAAGGAACTCTGTCGATATACTTATAGATTATAAATCACCCTTGTAACTAGCAGCTTATAAATATTTTGGATAACATTTGAAATTAAACAGTGAAAATATGGAAAATAATTTAGATTGAAATAATTTTTATAAATTATACTTATTATATTTAATGCTAGAACAATGAAGGTGTGCACTACACACCTATAAGTCACGCCTATATTAGTCGTGTTAGATATTAACTATAATATATGATATTAACAATCACAAGATCAAAAAATACAAGAGAATTCTAATACCTCATCCATCTTTTTCTGCCCCTCTTTATCTTTTCCAACTTTCTTTCACTTTTTCGTCTAGATCGCCTCCTGGATCGCTTGAATACTTGGACTATCTTCAATCCTAAACTGCCTGAATACGTGGACCGCCTCTATTCCTGGATCTCCTTCATTCCTGGACCACTTCTATTCTTGAATCGCTTCTACCCATGAAATACTTTCATTTCTGAAGCGTCTGCATTAACTATAATATATTTCTACATTTCTGGATCATCTATATACCTAGATCGCCTTCAGGATTACGCGGATTCTCAAACCTCCTGGATTGCCTCCATTTTTAAGCTGCTTAAATATGTGGATTCTCCTCCTCTTCCTCTTTTCCTGGACCTCCTCTATTCCTACACCACTTCTATTCCTGAATCGCTTCTACTCATGGAATACTTTCATTCTTGAGTCATCTGCATTCCTAGACTGCTTGAACATATGGACCGCCTCCATTCTTGGGCCATTCCCATATCTAGCTCGTCTTAATTCCTAGATCGTTTCCATTCCTAGATCGCCTTCACGCATAGAACATCTCCATTTCTGAGCCGCTTGCGTTCCTGGACCGCTTCCATTGGGCCGTTCCCCTTCATCCCTTCATTTTAATCAGCACATGATAGTACCCTGTGAGTGACATATTAATAATGGTTATAGTTAATTCTGCAAGCAGTGAAAGTATTAATGAATTCCTTTCATTGATTTCGCTTCTATACTGTTTATTTTGACAACCAGTTACAATTGATACCACTCTCTCCTAATCTAATCTAAGTTAATATATGCAGACTCCAAAGTGGACATTAATGAACATAGCATATAAACCATCATAATTACAAAACTCTTTCTTATCCAATTTTCATTATGCAATTTATTAGATATAGGATACTCAGGACAGCTTATCTTACATGTATGCAGTTGAATTCTTGTTATAATATCAAATATATCTGATCAAAATTTCTAGTCGGGCTTGTACGGGTATCGAGTACATGGCCGACAGTTTTATACGCGCGCAACACGATCTGCAAAATAGATATGAATACATTTGAAGCGGGTGAGTGTCGAGTCTTCCTGACACTCGAATCGCAGTTGTCGTTTCAGCGCGGTGGCGCAGGCCCAGCTGACCGGGGTGCCCCACGTCCGGAAGGACTCCGGCTACGACGGTGCGGCGAGCAGCACGATGATCCACGAGCCGCTCGAGACGAACTCCAGCCCGAGCCCGAACCCACGGATCACCTCGGCGCCGTCCTCGTCGACCTCGTCGTCGCCGCCGCCGACGAGGGGCCCGACCAGCGTCTCGTCGCAGACGAAGAAGAACGGCAACGGCAGCACGAACAAGCAGGAGCTCAAGAGGCTGAAGAGCGCCGGCTCGCTGTTGCCGCTGCCGCTCGCGAGGACGCCCAGTGTGTTGTCGTCCGTCGGCAAGAAGGACCGCAAGAACGCCTCGGCCGGGTCAAGGTTCACGATATACAAGGCCAACAAGGCCAGCAAGAAGAAAAGGGAAAAGAGCTCGGCCAAGAAGGAGCGCAAGGCCACGAAGACTTTAGCGATCGTGCTAGGTGGGTAACTCGCGTGTTACCGCGTTGATAAGCCGCACGACTCGTCCGCCCCTGCATCCGTTATTGATGCGCTCGGACGAGTCAGAGGCGGGACGAGAAATAGCGGAGGTAGCGGAGATGGATCACGCATGTGAGAATCCGCACCGTGGCTGACCGGACAGGGTGAGTGGTTTAAAAGCGGAGACGTCGGAAGATTAGTTACACGTCCGACACGGCGATTTGATCGGACCGGGCGATTCGTGGCTGTGGCTACTTTTTGCCAGTAATAAATTGACGGTAATACATTTTCATGCGAGCTGCCATTATTGTCGCTCATGTCGCGGCCTCATGTTAGGATGTTAAAACGGTAAAATTGATATGAGACAAATGATGTAGGAAACATTGCATCGTCGGTAAAAAGAAAATTCGAAATGTGCACTCGTTTGTTTCCTCCAGCGAAGTAAGAATCTTGATATTAAGAAACGGAAAGCTCGTTAAACTTGCTGTTAACACAAATCGTTGCGAAGTATTATTAGACAGATAGTTTGTGTCTTGCAGCAGTCCTTTGATATGTAAGACATCAAAGGACAAATTAATAGCAGACACTGCTCAGAAGTTCCCGCCAAATACTTGATGCGTTAAAGCCGGTAACGTAATATACATTGTGAACTAAACAAAGCACGGAAACGCCCCAAAATGTTCGCTTTGAAGGAAGTAATAATGGTTAATTTGTCATTTGCAGCGTATACGCAGGCTGTAATTGCGTTCTTTTTAGCAGTATATACATTATGTGGCGCAAATAATACAATCGCATTGTTAATTAGTACCTTATTTTCAGATTATTCCGATTTGTTTTATATTAATGAGACGATTATATAAAATAAAGATTATATAAAATAATTTCCATAACAAAATAAATTATCATAGAATAAATATATATTCGTTGAAACTCATAATGTAGTAAAAGGTTAGATCTCATGATCGATATTAAAATAAACACAGTAGTTTTTTGTTATTTAGTTATAGGCTGTGAAGTTGTGGAAAAAAGTAATAAGGTTAAAGGTAAAACCGTGGCGGAACTCTCGATTTATGACGTCAGAAGCGAGAAAATACATGGTAAAAGTCCTTGCACAACACGTTGAAAAAGATATACCCATAAAATGACACTTGCAGTCAATCGGATATGTAAAATAGTCCGAAAACTTTTCTTTTGCTATATGAATAAAGTGCCGTTTAAAAATAAATTGATATAGTAACTTCAATGCAACATATTGTTGCATTAACATGTATTTTGTTGAATAAATCCAGTATTTCTTTGATAGTCGGTGATCGCCGAGTTTGTCCATTTAACCGCTTTTTTTCTTATTGTGTGCAACATATCTTTTTACCCTGCCTTTTATCATAATTTTTTCCACTTTTCTTTTGAATTTTATAGTTATTTATTGTTTATTAGAACCAAAGAAAAATATTCGGACAATTTTATATATCTGATTGATTGCAATTATCATTTTGTGAATATACTTTAATTTTTACGTATTTTTTTAAGAATTCTTAGCGTGTATTTTCTCGATGCTGATGTTATAAGTCAAGATAACCGCGACGAGAACAGCAGATTTAAAAATGTATTATACATATTGTCACATTATATTTTTATAATTTACTTATTTTTTTATTTATTTGTTATTTATTTTTATTTATTTATTTATTTATTTTATATTATTTCTGACTTTTTCTTAAACCTTTATTTCTAGACCGCAATGAAATTTTGCATACATTATTTTGATTATTTAAAATACATGTATACAAGCATTGAAATTTTTGCTACTATTTTTTAAATTATCTTTTCTTCTTTATTAAAAATGGCTACATCATATATTTAACATAACAGCACGGCTTAAAATACTTCTAAGTAGCAGGATGACATCACATGTCGTATTGAGAACATATTATTATCGTTAAAAACGTCATCTAACGTTATTATGCTTGCTGGGCTTGTACTTTGAAGTGGAGTAACTTTTGATCTAGACTCTGAATTAACATCAAATTATTTGCTATCAATTTTAGTGCAATGTAAACTAATCTCATTTTTCAAAATTTTTCGTTATTTTTAAAATATGGTAATACATCTTTAATGTGTGAGTATCGTCTTAAATCTTTAAGCAGTGCAAATTATTGATTGCATTATCTACTTTAACTATCCAATAACATTGATTAATCCTATCTTAATTAATGCCACAGGGGTCTTTCTGATATGCTGGGTTCCTTTCTTCACCTGCAACATCATGGATGCAATCTGCACGAAACTGACGAAGGCCTGTCAGCCTGGTGTTACAGCTTTCATCGTCACCTCCTGGTTGGGTTATATGAACAGCTTTGTGAATCCCGTAATATACACTGTGTTCAACCCCGAATTCCGTAAGGCCTTCCGCAAGTTGATCAGCGTGTAAGCGAGCGATTCGTCCTCCTAAAGAAGATCCACAGGGCGAAGAACGTGACTCTCTGTGAATCGTCGTATTTGTGATGTAACAACGAGGCTCTAGGCTCTCGACAAGCTCGCAACAGGTACTGTCGTTCTCGTATTTGGCATCGCAACAGCTGCGTTTGCGTATCGATTTTCGCATTCCGTCGCGCGTCAATCGCTACCAAGTGAAAGAGGAAAGTTGCATCTCGCATAGCATTTTCCACTTTCTGAAACTCGGAAAACATTTCGCGCGCCGTTGAAAGAAACGAGAGCATTATTTTCAACGAGTATCGTTTGAAACGTTACAATATTTCGCGAAATAATTTATGCAAGCTGCGGGAAAATGTGACGCAGATGCACAAACGAGAAATTCTCGTCTCTGTTGGTATCTAAATTCTTTGTGCATATATATACTCGCTTCTAAAGCAATCAATTAGTACTTTTAATATAATTCTCTTTTTTCTCATTCAAACTTCCTCGGTTAAGGAAACACGCGTTATCGAAGAGAATAATTTTTTTTAGGTATCCGGTGCACACCTGACGGAGAATAAAAATTTCACTCCACTTGGTCAAGATTGGTACGCGATAAGACAAAATTATCCGGTGGTAATTGTTGCTATCGAATGCGGCAACGATTCATCGCGTCTACATATACGTGAATGCGTGTATTATGATACATGAACTAACGTAGCGTGCCGCGCTACAAGGACACGTCAAAATTCACGTGCACCGATGGAACTGAACTCCCGCACGAGTAGCTCAAATAATTGCTAAGTGAGACTTCGCATAACAGAACGCCGCGTCGATGAGCCGCGCGGCGTCGCCGTATCGCGCGGACTCGCGTCAGGATAATTTAAATAATCTGTACAAATTGCAAGCGACAAGCGTTCATGGCGTCCAAAGGACTTCGTTAGAGAGGCTAGTTAGCTGTTAAGGTGTAATAATCGCGTTCGTATATAGGGCGGATGTCCCTCGGAAATAATTTAAGTTCGCGAAAAGCAGGTAATATAAATGAGATCCGTGACGGCGAAGGGTTAAAGTTGTTAGAGGTGTATTTATTATGCGAGTATATATATATATATATATATATACATACATACATATATATATATGTATATATATATATATATACATACATACATATATATATATATATGTATATATATATATATATATATATATATATATATATATACATATATACTATACGTCTCCGTGGATAATTAAGTACGCCATGACAGTATTAACGTAGCGTGTAAGATATAGCAATATTTTTTCGCTCAAAGCAAAAAGCAACCGAGACCGCCGTTTGTACGACGATATGTAGGAACATGCTATACATATTCGCGCGTCGCAGTGTAACTGTATGTATTTATATTTCGGTACATGTAGAGAGAGAGAGAGAGAGAGAGAGAGAGAGAGAGAGAGAGAGAGAGAGATTATACATATACATACATGACATAAATGAATTTACGCGCTGTTCCTTCCACGATATACAGGGTGATGCTAAGCGCGGAATAAAAGCTTTAGGACAACATGAAGGAAGATTGATTTTTGGAAACAGTGTACCTTGTAAACACTCTAGCTTGTGAACGCTCTATTTAATAAGTTATTACTGAATACCAAAATACGATTACTTCTCAGTTACAGCGGAGACAGTGAGGTGTTTAGTAAAGCCCGTGCATTAATCAAAAGTAAGCTATTTTTCTGAGCATCGGAATACTCAGGAGAAAGACGGTTGACTCAACTTGATCTGTCTTTATTTTTGTGAACACACTTATAAAGGAATAAATAGGAATTCACACCATTGAATCGCCTCCTGTTTCGAAAGTTTTTCGTATCATGACGAATTCGAGGTACTTAGTCGACACTTATACACGAATATGTCAGGGCTTCTCAATTTAGCGTTCTTCTTCTAGTCTTGCCGCATTAATTCTATAAATCAATGCAATATTTATCTGAGCAATATTTATTATTTGATATAATTATTATTATATCTGAGCAATTATTTATCCAAAAGATTCTCAATTTACGTATATTTATTTGTATGTTCTATCTGAGAACTATTATAAATATTAAAATGAAACTTTTTGTAGTTTATTCAATATGGTTCGTAAATTACATAGTATAGAGTACATAATTCTTAGATTAATGTCATTATACGGGTTTGTTCGGAAATGACTAGTAAATTGTGTAATTCTATTACTTTCTTGAAACTTTGAAAATATCTAGAAATACAAGATGATACTTTTATTTTCAATCGACTTTAAAAAAGAACAATTGTTTTAATTAATGTAAAAAAAAATTTTTAAGTAAATAACTAAAAAGTATAAAATAAAGAATTTAAAAATATAAAGCATTTTCAAAAACGACAAAAGCCCTATAAAAAGTATGAAAAGTATGAAATATGTAATTTTTACTGAATATTCCTATGTACCTACAATCTTATCCTAATATTTTAACGATATTAGAAGTCAGCGCAAAAAAGACAAATTAGGTAAATAACTAACTGTATAACTGTATAACAGATAAATAATGAAAAAAGCCATGATTATTAACTCAATTGGTCAGATTTTTGCGCGACTTCCAATATTGTTGAAATATTAGAATTGAATTATAGGTACATAGAAATATTGAGTTAAAATTATTTTGTATTTTTTGGGGCTTCTGAAGTTTTTGAAGGTAGTTTGTTTTCTCTCTTTTCAAGAAAGTTACTATATCTATCTATCATATCGTCAACTAAAGTAGGAAACTTTCTAACAAAATCCCAATTTTACAGAATATTTTTCAAACGATGCGGAATCCTAAAACGTTTTGAACGAAATCTTAATACAATATCTCAATTCTATAAAAAATTAGAGGAGGTTAAAATTAGAGTTTGGAGGTTTTCTAATTTGGCCGGAGATATGTAATTTTTTATCTGCAATATATTTTTAACCAGATGGCATTTTAATACTTTATGAATAAGCAATAATTGAAAATGTCATATTTTAAATTTTATATTTTAAATTAGGACTTAGATAGTCAGATTGAGTAGACCAAGAGAGGTATATCATACATCTGTTATATAATATAAGATTATTTTATGTGAAAAGACACGAGGTAGATAAATTTATTAATACGCAACGTTCAATGATATTTGCTTTTATTTCGACTACTTCTATATCACTTTAATGTATTATAAATACCTGCAAGCTCGTCCTAGATTATGTTCATTAGCCTTTTTAGACGGGCTATTTAAAACTATGCCAGTCGACTGCACGGCGTCGAGTATTTTTATAGCGAGCGATAAGTACGCGAATAAATAAATCGGAGCATGGACGCCGTAAGGATTGAGAAGCCCTGACGTGCATTATCTGACGATTTTACTGTCGCCCTTACACTTACAGGTTTGACTCGCGAACATAGTACGGGCTCGATCGAGCGGCGAAATTCCGGAACTCATTCCGACCGCTTTGGCGCTCTGATACACGTAGGATTTGCCGCGTATTCCGATACTGTACTGTACGGGGCTACGAATCGTATGAATAATCAGGTAGACTTGGGACAATGACAACGGTATACATGAATATCGGAAACACAACTCTCGGTTTCACGGCTCTTTCGAGCGCGACGGTATTTCGGTGCGATATCACGATTCACGGTTTTACATCTAAATTGCATGCCACGTCACCGCATTAATCCTTTGCAAAGCAGACCCGGGATACGGTTGGAAGGTTATTTCGCGGGGATAAAATTTGCGCGCGGGATCAGCGTAAAAAGGGACTCGAATTAATCGAGTGTGGGGAACGGCGAACAGACAGTAAGAAGGAGAGCGCGGGCGCACACGTTGCGCGGAGTTCATTATCGAGTTTTGCACCGGCGAAAAGTTCCTGTTCGCAAGCTGAGTCGAGAGTTGCGCCCAGTGGTTTCTCGAGACATCCTGAACGTGTCCCAAGTTTCGGCGATCCTTCACGTCCTCTGTTTGCGGTCAAGCGTGAAGTTCACCACGGCCGAATTTCCAAACATATCAGTACGAGTACGCAGCGCGATAAGCTCTGTCCACGCATCAAATTCCTGAGGATGCGCTTTCACGCATGACGGCGAACTACCGAGACGCGAACTGGCATATAACACGGAAGGAATTAACCCTACACTGTGCTATGTTTTACCCCTCGGAGCGATCGGCGTGATCATGTACTAGCCAAGACTTCCTCGCCGAACTGTGAAACGGTCCGAAGACGAACGTTCACGTTGCACTCTCTTCATTTCTTAAAGTGGAGTCCCACTTCGCTCAAAACGAGTGAAAAGTTCTAGTATTTTCGCTCGAAAATATATAAAGCAAATAGATTGGGAATGCCGTAAAGATTGAGGAATTCTGACGTATATTACCCTTATAGAAATGTAATACTGATAAGTAATAATTTGGCCAGTGATAATTACTGTCGTTCACTTCTCGTACGAGTAATAAAATTATTATTTATTACTGGCCAATTTATCATAGCCAGTGATACTTTTCTATAAGGGTATTTGACGATTTTACTGTTAATCTTACGCTTGCAGGTCTGACTCGCGAGCGTAGTACGGGTTCGATCAAGTGGCAAAATTCTGACCGCTTCGGCGTTTCTGATATACGTAGGATTTGCTGCGGATTCCGATATCAAAAGTACGAGGCTACGAATCGTATGAATAATCAGGTGAACTGCCACTCGAAGTCGCAAGGATGAATGTTTCATTCAAGCTTAGAGTGGATTGTGACTCCGTATGAGCGAATGTTTCAACCGATTAGAGCGAATATGCTCGTGTCACAGTGGAGTACGCAATCCGACACAACAGCCATAGAATCTTAGAATTACAATAAAAAAAGTTACGTAAAACCTAAACATGCACGGAAAAAAATGTTTAGTTGAATTAACCAAATATCTGGTCGAATATGAACGATCCAGAAATTCCGATTGAAGTAACCCGAATTCTGTTTAAGTTAACAAGATTTTTGGTTGACTTCGGGTTAAACAGAATTTGGGTTACTTCAATCGGAATTTATGGATCATTCATATTCGACCAGATATTTTAATTTAACCAAACCTTTTATTCCGTGTAGGTAAAATTTATCCAGCGCATTTTTATTTGCTCATAATTTTTGTAATAATAATAAAAATTTAATGCTTTCTTTTTTATATATGTAGAAAACATCGAGGAATATAAATCCATCAATATTTTTGCGATTCAAAGAAATAGAAAAATATTAAAATAAAAAAGACATATTTTTAAGAACGGTAACGTTTAAAAGATTGGTTTGGATCAATTTTATGCATATTTAGAGTTTCAGAGTTCATTCATTGAGCCTAGTTGCAACTGAATTTTCCAATCACGCACAATGTTTTTACATATTTGTGCACCATAACTGTTGATTACTTCGAAAAAATGTTATTTCGAAGTAGCTTTAACATTAGAATGCCCAATGGAGTCTTTTAAGTAGTTTGTCCATGATAATACAAAACAGTTAAATATTAGATTAATATATATAATTAAAATGAGTTAAATATTATTTTATCAGATTAATATATTATATAGTTTTGACAAGGATTCGCGTTATGTGACAACATCGCATCTGTCAAACTGTTAGACTGCTATAGGATAGGCGCACAGTGTTGCGCAGTGCCTATTCTTATGAGCACAAATCGGTATTTAAAATCTACTCAAGATATCGATGTAAAATTTTAATATATAAATCATATACGAAAAACAATGTTTTCTTTGTAATGACTAACCAGACTTGGAACATTGAAGGAAGAGAGAGTATATCAATTGTGGAAAAAGTAATACAAAGTATATTTTTATTATTAATTTCAATAATATACAATATCATTATGTATGATTGATATTTTACATCACTTAAAACCTTAAAATATACTAAAATGGAGTTATATTATAGTAAAATAAAAATTATATAAATAGGTAAAGCAAGAAAAAAATAAAAAATTATTAATAAGGAAGAATTAATAAAATCTTTTTAATAGTGATTACATTTCCGTCAAAATGTTTTATTCATCAATTTCTGGTGGATTTAATTGGACTCTTTAATGCCTGTGCCCGGCACTTGCATTCTAGCTGTAGTTTTCTACTTCAAAATCGTTTAGGCACACTTGCGCATAAAGCTCTTTTTCATGTAATGCTTCGAATTTATACCAATGTATACCAACATTAATACAGTGTAGTTCAATGACGTACATAACTAGTACGTGATATAACTAAATATTTCTGTTCTTTTTATGGAATTTATTAGTAATTTGGATTATGGTACGCATATGTAAAAAGTATCAAGACATATGAGAACTAATACTAGCTTGTTAGAAGACCAATGTATAGCTATTCTTAAACTATGATTTCAGCTCTCTACTATTCTCTACTACTACTAATTTATTGTGAAGAATATGAGCTTTTAACACTGAGCTTTTAATAGGTACAATTTTATTCACACGGTAATTTGTTGTAAAAATAATAAAATGCTTTGATTCGCTCCAATTTTTGGAATTGTCAGATTGGTATTATTTATATCACATTTCAGATAGTATATGTTTGGAATGTGCAAGAAGAATAACTTTCTATATTATGTTTCATAAGACGGCTTTTTTCATAAAAATAGTTTCTTCGCAACACTGTCAGGCAATGTGAACATTGGACTACCTTCATATGCAATGCCAAACCTCCGTATTGCCAAATCTTCGTAGGTTAGCTGTCATATATTTCAGTCGCTATCAGAAATTGTGTACTTTACATGTTAATTCCTTCAAAACTAGATGGTCAAAGAGAAGCCTTGTACTTTTATAATAATATTTTTAACACTTAATTGTTTTCTTATTAAATCGGTAAAAGTAGTTTGATTGTTATAATTAGAAGCGTGCTATTGGAAACCGTTTTCGTACCTGCAATTATGTTAAGAGTGCTAAATTTGACTTTCATTATTTCAACTTTGTTTGTCAATCTTCTTCTAATTGCATATGTGGATGTGAGTGTTTAGATTGTGTTTATATTAATATAGTATCAAAACTTTACAAGATTCTTAAAAAAATGAATTTATAGACGAGTTATTTTAAATTTTTTTTGTTGTTACCACTTTTGTTTATCGTAATTTATAAAAAAACATATCTCTTAACTTTTTATTATTTTTAAAATACGACACGCTGAGAGAATAACAGAAAAAATGTCTATCCACACACACACATATACAAAAATATTATTTTAACACTCTGTTTAATCATCAGTGTTACATAAAGATAATACATAAACTGTTATTTGGAATTTTTATTTTCTAAT